CATTCTATTCTCCAAATAAATAAGGTGAAGAGGGATATCTCTCTGGAATATGTGTAACAGAAAGGGCGAGCTGTAAATTTTTAAAAAGTGTCACACATATATATTTGTAGCAAGAATGTAACTGCTTTCCATAGTTAACTATAAATTACTTGTACTAAGAGCTCTCAAGAAATCTGTCTGAATAGGAAATAGTATCTGCCTCTTTCAACATTGCATCCTTAGTACTTAGGAAGGCACTGAATACATTGTTAATGTGTTTATTAAATAAATAAATTATCTTCATCATTTAACCAACAGCTTTGACCTACTTTCCCTGCTGCAGTTATTCACAACCGCATTTGAATTTAATTTTTTCCTCCTCTCCTTGTCCAGTTGTAAATGTGGCGTGAATGAAGAGACAGATACTCTGAGGATTGCCAAAAAGAATTGAAGAGATGAAATTGTATTGCTAGTCAACAAGATTGATGTCAGAAGTCATTTAGATGACTTATATTTAATTTGACATGAAAGAGTTACTGAAAGAATTCACTTGCTCTGAAAGAACAGATCTCTTCACATGCACTATTTTTACTGATTCATTCATGTTTATATTACTTGGTTCATTTCAGATAATCTAAAGACTTGCTGGGACAACTTTTCCAAAGCAGATTATGAGATGCCAGGAGAAAAATCTAGCCTCTTGTCCTGATTATTAGCTAAACATTTTTATTTGTTCATGAAAATTAAATGATCGCATACTTTCAGGAATTATAAACACATTATTGACTGTTTGCCTATACCATTCATATTTTTGTATGTGCATTTTCTAGCTGCTTTGAAAGGACTTTTCCAAATGTTTTAGTGCATTGCAAATCTTTCCACTTGATACTGTTATTTAAATATATATCACCCTTTGCCTTCCATTTCTATTGCTTCTGTATCCGTACTTGTAAAAATATTGACAGAATATTACATTTATAGGAGAGTTACAACCATCCAAGTCCTAAATAACAGCTATAGCTAACCCCATGGGGGAAGATTCCTAGTAATTTCCAAGTTTTCTGTGTTAGTGACAGGTTTCATGCGTGTACTCAGCTATTAAAGCATTAGAGTTTCTTTCATATCTTAATCATTAACAACTTTAGCTCTTATTGCCCATGGAGTTGCAAGCTGTTAAAATGATCATTTTCCTCTTACTAATTTTGAAACTAAGAGCTGTTTCTTCCTCTGATACAGTGCAGGTCTCTCCCAAGAGAACACACAATTCAGGGGCACTAAGAATTTACAATGGAAAAACTTAATCTAAAAATGATGAATTTGTAAAATAAATGGAGGTGAAAGGAGGCTAATACTCTTAAATACTAAAGAGTTTAATTTTTAATGCATTCAGCATGGAAGTTCTTTGGGTTTTTTTCTCAGTAGAAATTGTCTCTATTTTTTACAATTAATATTTTTGGTGGTTATTTTATGAAAAATTTATAAGGCTGGAAATCTAAAAGTTATGTTTTAATACTAAAAGGTCAATTAAAATTCAGTCAGAATTAAGATAATGTAGAATTATCATATTAAGTTAATAGAATATTTTAAAGCTTTAAAATACTGTATTTATACTTTGCCTTTTTAAAACTATATACCCACAGTGTTTTACTCATAGTAAATTCTCAACAAATATTTGCTAAATTAATAGGTTAAAACAATTGTTGGTGTGATAAAATTAAATATGTATCTTGAGCATTCATTCATCTGTCCATTTAAGGATTATTGTGTATCCCAATGTACTTTATGGAAAAAAATAGAAAATTAATGACTTAATTTTTGAAAAATGACTATTCTTTATTGTTCATGGTTATATTTATACAACATTGGGCAAATGTATTAGAACAAAAAGCTTCTATAGACTAGGAATATGCAAGCTACTTAAGAAATACCTCTGAAGGTATACCAATTCTAAGCCCAATTTCAAAGATTTTGTTAGATAGATCTAATGTGAGACTAGGCATTTGAATTTTATGGAAAGTATTATAGTTTCAAAATGACCAGTAGATCATCTATAACCATTTCTTCCAAGAATAATGAATAGTCACAATATTTGTTTAGTTTATGTTTAATGTGATTATTCTTGACTCTCTCTTAAGCTGTCTTCTGATCTGGGAAAATCCAACCCCCTGAGGTGATGGTAGAGATAATATGTTTTCCTTAGGCAGTTATCAAGAGAGCGAACATCTCCCCTTTCTCCAGCCAAATTTCTGACTTCTGGGGATTCCTTCTAAGCATTGATCCAATGCCAGGCAATCTACTATGTATATGCCACTCTGTGATTCATATCTTAAAGCAAGAGAGCTAAAGTTAGGATGACCTGGAAACTCTTTCATTCTTACAGGCTCCCAAGTGCTCCTTGCCCTTTCTTGTGTCATTCTTTATAACACAAATCCCTTCAGACTTTACTCTTAGCCCTTTCTCCCAAGCAGCACAACATAAGGCTCTGACTTACAGAGAAAAGATAGTACATCTTTGGTTATCTTTCGATCCATTATCCATCCTGCTACTTTTGCTCTTTTGTATATATTTTCTGAGTTTATTTTTGTTCTCTACTATATAAGACCTTATTCTAAGTACAGAATATATCTATTTTTCCTATAAGCTGGTTTTGACACATTGTCTACCACATAATACAGTATATCTCTTAATTAGTACTTCACATTCAGTATCATTAAGCCTAATCATATGTTAATTTTGATTGCACATTAAAAATACGTCTCTTTCCTTTAGAAATATCCACTGTCTATGATACCTGCAGCCATCACTGTCTTCCTAAAGAAGCAAAAACTTTTGCTTTAAGGCTACAGGCTCACTAAGCACTGTGTACAAGGAGATTGTACCATAGCATCTGTCCTCTGAAAACTTAACATTCTAAGGGAAATATATGTCTTGTTTTTGTTTAATTCCACTTGACCTTAAATTTCTTGCCTGTTATACTAGATGCTGTGTAGAACAAAGGAATATGATAAAGCTTAGCAATGCAAAGTTACCATAATTGATTCATAATCCATATTAAAATTTAATTGAACTCTGTAGAAAATATTTCCATTTTCTCTTCTCCTGGATAAATAATTCAAATTCTTTTTATCACTTTCATTTAAATTCCATGAACTCCAAGCTCTATTAACTTAAATGAAGAAACATGCTTAAACAGTTTTAAGCTGTTTTATAAATGACATAAAATTTTGTACGTGAAAAAAGATCAGCTGAAATCAGATTAAAACTGGAATGAATCAATGAGGACAAAAAAACTTCCCTAAATGAAATAAGGATAAAACCATTCAAGTGTGCTAGCACAGAAAGGTTAAGCAACTACTCCTCCATACAAGTACACAAAGTGCTTGCCACACATTGTCTTTGATTCTCTAAGATGATTCTGGTAAGCAGGGAAAAATATTTTTTTAAAATGCAATGTTTCATAAATGACACAAAATACTCAGTCCTTCCCTGTCTCTGATGTATCCTTATCTGAAAATAATTTTCAAGAAGTTTTTTCCATTAAAGACTAGGCTTGAGCTCTTTCATGCTATTATTAAATAACAACCAATATTTTATCACTGAAGAGGTCATTTCTAAAATTATAATCATAATATTATACCTCTTTTCACCTTCATCCTCTGACTTTGTTTTTCATAGTTGTTTGTAAGATTTTGTCACTTTGAAATAAGTGTAAATATTATTGTGAGAAGCTTTGCAGTTTTCTTAGAAGTTTCATTTATCTGAGTTATAATTGATAACATTTAATATTTAATCACTTCTTAAGGTGACCTGAGCATTATTTTTATGATGTCTCTCACCAGGTCCATTCATTTTGTATCTGTTGTCAGAGTCCAGGCATTTTTGAGTATATCCTGTTCACATATATGGGATGTTGATATTCACAATAACTGAATATTAATGATACATTTGAATTATGGTATCAATATAAGAGTCAAATGCTATATGGGGAAATGTTAAGTTCTTTTGTTTACAAATAGAATTGGAAACTGAGTGGGAGGTGGGAATGGAAGAATAAAAATCATAATGTGAATGACTCTACATCTAGGTAATAATCTTATGGTAGCTTTTACTTTTTTATTATTCTTTTCTGTTAATTCTGAATTTCTAAAATGAAGAAAATAAGTGCAATCTAAGAAAAAGAGGAAATTATAGTTGCTACTTATTTTCTGTTTGCTTGTCCTAGGAGACTTGCCCAGGCTCTCTTGCTGGGCAAGTCTATATGTGGTATTTGTCTTCTAAGAATTCTGTTCTTGCCCTTGCTGCTAAAGCATATTTTCTTTATTTTAGCATCATGGAAAGTAGGTAAGGTCAAAGAGCTAGGACTTAAACACAAATATGTAACTTTTGCTGGTGTTTATTCCTTTATTTAGGTTTGGTTTAACTAGGTTTGTAGATGCAGTCTTGATATATTTTGCAACCTGATGATTATGGCATTTGTATTTGGACATGGAAAAAAGACAAGGGAGATGAATGTACTGAGATGCATAAGAGGCCTTAGGAGCTATGAAAAACAATATGATAATATTTATAGACTGATCATATTTTAGAGATATCAACTAACCGAAAGTCATTCATCAACATTTCTTAGGCTCTACCAAGTTCCTACATCTTAGTTCAGACTAAAGTTCCAATGTATTTATATTTTTACCTTCATCCCTTAGCCACTAGTAGTTACTTTCAAAACATTACTAAAACTATAAACATGGGAACCTTTTCTGGTGATACCCAAAGAAATATCTCATAATTCTTAGGAATTTCGAGATTTTTGCTCATGGGTCCATTTTCTTTTCATTGTCCACCCCTCTTCACAATTGAAAAAAAAATCTGCATTCTAACTATAAGACTGTCAAAAAAAGTCCAGCAACTACCATGAGACATTTAAGAAGAAAGAGTAAAATTGAATGCCTTGGGAGCTTTCGATAGTATAAAAAAAAAAGTAAGGAATAATTTGATTTGTTTTTTTTTCCATCTAATATTTTTAGGTACAAGCCTATGCAGAAAGTGGATGGGGTTGCAGATGGTTTCACGGGAAGTGGTCCGCAGACAGGCACATCAGTTGAGCAAACTGTAATTGCCCAAAGTCAACATCATCAACAGTTTTTAGGTATGTTAAGGTGTAATTCATATTAGTTGCTATTAGGATTTTGAAGAGAACAATAGTATTTCTCCAAGTACAATGTCTTTTACAGATATTAATTATATAAAAGGTTGTTTTGATACTGAAAGCTGTGCACATTATATGATAGTTACAGATCATAGAGCTTATTTTAAAAAATCCTCATGCTAGGTATGACTTTGAAATGTACCCAAATTAAAGGCTCACTGGTATGAAAGTGTTTTCCAGAGTTTATATTAATTGGATTTTTCTGCTCACCTTTTATTTTATCATTTTTACTTTTATTTCCATGTGTATACTTTGTTTGTGCCACCTTCCCCCACAATCCCCCAACACCCTTAAATGGCTTTTTGATCACGGTAATGTTGTATTTACTTGCAGGCAGTAGTGCCTTTAAGTCCCCAAAGACTTCTCATTTCTATGTACAAAGTTGCATATTATATAGTGTCAGATTAGGAAAAAATTACTCTAAATTTTTAAAAAGTAATTTAGTCTTTTAAATTGATTTTTAATTGATTATAGTGCTTCCTAGTTTTGTAATTTTGTAGATACTATGCATATGTTCTTATTCTTGAAAGGGTTAGAAAGTAGAACTTGAACATTTTGCATATTTTTGCTATAGCCAAAGGGTCAAAAGTGGTCATTTAATTGACAGCTCTTTTGAGGTCAGCATTCACAGTTTCCATGCAACAAGATCAGTAGGTACTATCAGAGAGTATGCATGTTTGTGTCTGTGTGTGCTTGCCAACAAAGAAAACTAAAATAGACTCCCAAGCTGGAATAGCTACTGAAGTTAGGCAGCATATCCTAAAATAAAGTCCTCAGATATATTCTTGCGTACCCCTTGAGCTGTCATTGAGAATTTTATTTTTTACTTTGTGTTTTTATTTCAATTGCAATATTTAAAAATAATGAAAGCATATTCTGGGCAATCTAGAAACTAGGAATAAATATCGTTCTCCTTTTGAATTTATAATTCAGGTACCACAGTGTATTATATTAATTGTCCAGAGCTAATGAGAAAAGAACAGAAAGAGACTTACTATGTAAATTATGCCTTCATCAGTGGAAGACTAAATGATGTCCTTCTGCTCTGTGTGGCAGCAAGTGTCACAGTAATTTGAATGTAGAAGAGTAATGGGGAAGCAACCACCAGGAAGTGCATGTTGGTGCAGGCCTGTCAAATTGAAATGACCCTGTGCCACAGTGGTCAATACCATGTTCATGTTGTGAAAGATAATTTGGTTATAGGACAACAGCATCATCCATCACATCAAATTAATGTTGTTAAGTTTAATGTTATTTTTGTAGTTTTCTTTGTATTTATTCTGTAACTGTTTTAGCTTATGATTATATAAAATGTATGAACATAAGTCCTAAGGCTATCTTTATTTTTATGTATAAATAGCAACAATAATAAAAATAACTTAAAATTGGTACTGACAAGCACAAGATCTTTTTCTTTTAATAAGGACATGTCCTATGCTATTTTCAGTTTAACTGTAGTAAAAATTTAGTTTCTACAAAATTCTTAAGTGTATTCCCTCTGCTCTTATACTTTTGTGCCATTGATATAAGTTTTGCTTACAAAATGTTAATTTGAAAATTCCTTACTCTTTGGCCCTCTGACTTATTTTTTTTTTTTAAAGTTGAAATTTTCCCTCACTAATTTTTAATTGACACCATCCACAGTAGCTTTTTTTCTGTTGTGTTGTCACGGTAACAGATGCATCTCGAGCACTTCCAGAGTTTGGAGAAGTTGAAATCTCTTCTCTGCCAGATGGTACTACCTTTGAGGATATCAAGTCACTGCAGAGTCTTTATCGCGAGCACTGTGAGGTAAGTCTTTTCAAACATAGTATGAACATGTAAGTTGTTTTGCAAGACAACTTGTTAAAACAAAATACAAGCTTTTTCCTAAAGGACAGATGAAGTTAACATTAATTCTTTGAACATTTCTTTGAGAACTAATAAACTCATTTTTCTTCTTTCTTGTCTCAGAGTGGAGAGGTGAGGAATGCAGGAAAGTGAGAGTACATTTTATTCTCCATTTCTTATGCCTATCCTAATCTGAATCCTTTGATGCAGCAATTCCACTTCTAGGTATTTATCCTACAAAAATACTTACATATGGGTGACAAGAAAATACAAGGGAAATTGTTGCATTATTCTTTTTAATGAGAAATGCTGGCTCTAGCTTCAATATTTAATAGAGAACTAGATAAATAAATTCTGGTGTGAACTATAGATTGGAGTACTATTCAGCCAATGAACAGACAACTCTTAAGTATACTAAAATGTTGTAAGCTCCAGGATTTATTGTTAAAGGAAAAATAAAGATGCAGAACATCTTGTATGTGGCATATTATCATTTGAGTGGAAAAGATCAGATCATATATTCACATCTTTCCAGAAGGAAGAACAAGTAAATGTTAATACTTCTTGCCTTTGTGAAAGAAACTGGGGGTCTGGGGGTCAAAAGAGACTCAATTTTTAGCATATCTTTTTATCCTTTGAACATTATGTCATGAGTATATGTTCCTATTAAAAGTAATGTTTAGATATGACTGATAAAACTCTTCAGGTGTTCCTTCCAGGGACCATTGAGGCTGTAGTTTTGTTTCATTTTTTTGGCTATTTAAGGCTCCTTTTGAGGTTTCATTCCCTACTCCTACTCTACTTCCCACAGCAGAATTGGTCGCATAGCTTGGGAGGTGACACTCTATGCCAAGGCATTCGTGTACCTGCCACTCACCTGGTAGAAAGGGGATAAAGAATTACACAGTTTTTTTTTTTTAGGTGCCTCTCCTTTTAAAAGAAAATTCTATTAAGAATTTAAGTAGCTTTATTCCAGGGGTATTGTGTGATCTGCTTAGAAGTTAAAGATTATCCTTTGGATTTCCAGGGCAGTCCTCCTGACGGATGAAAATGCAGTATGCAATAAGAAATTTCAGTTTATAACATTCACAGATTTATTTCATTTTTCAGAAATAAAAAGTTGCTTGCATGAATCTAAATTCTTGTCAAGGATGTTTAGGTTATTAACAGCCAAGGACAAGTTCTGTCCTTATTAACATAGCATGTGCTAGAAGTGTTCTTCAGCATGTCCTCCTATCTCAAATGAGGCAGATGTTAAAGTCCTTTTTTAAAGAGGTATTTAAGATTATTTAATTTGAAGAGATACTGAATTTAAGATGCACTGAAATTCTTTACTTCCCAATATTTCTTGGCATGATGAAAGCCATTTGCTGTTCATTTCCTTTTGACTACCGTGTAAAGTTTCTCATATTTATCCAGATTGTAAGCTGGAACATGATTAGTTATATTGCTAAAGATTGTACAGTAAGATTATTATTCTAAGTGATAAACCCAGAATATTCTCTGGATTATAAAATGAACACACAAATCATTTGTCAAGAATATATATACTTTATATAAGAGATAGGATCATGTTTAATTATCTGTGTGGGAAATGCCACTTTATAAAATGATCCCTCCTTATTTTAAAGTTACCAGATTTCATGCCATTTTCATGGGGTAGAGTAGCATATATGGAAAAAAAATTTTCTAGTCATTTTTTTCTGATCAAACTTACAAATTATTGAAATACAGCTGCCTAAATCTCATACCCAGTCCAGTAATCATTTCCCCTAAGCCAGTATATTTCAATTATTTTTTGTCTACATACTTTAGTCTGAACACATTTAAAAGTGTGTGGAACAAATGATAAAGTGTTTTATTCACTGTAAAACTGCCTCAAATGAGGCAGATGTTAAAGTCCTTCTCAAAAGAGTTATTTGAGATTATTTAATTTAGAGATACTAAATTTAAGATACATTGACATTCTTTTCTTGCCTTGTCTTATTTCACATATATATGGTTCATATTTTTCAAAAATGATTATTATGCCTATTTTGCTGATTCGAATTCTCATAATTTGTTTATTACAGATATTTTTAAAGTACCTATAGTTTTAGCCTGGTATGGTGTTACAAACCTGTAATCCCAGTACTCAGGAAGTTGAGGCAGGAAGAATGCGAGTTTGAGGCCAGCCTGGGCTACATAGCTAGCCTCTGTTTCAAAAAACAAAAACAAACAAAAAATACCACTCATTTTGTTATTTAAGAAACTGGTATAATTTTCTATAAAAGTTTCTGCAGCTTGTTCTTTTTGCCTAAAATACTCAGATGAATCCTAGATTTCCCCCTGTTGCCTCCACCATCTGCAGATTTTGTGAATCTTGTGGGACTCTTTTAACTGTCCAAGTACTCAATTTTTAATTATGTCAAACATGTTCTGTTAGTCACTGAATCATGTTTTCTTTGTATAAGCAAGTTCTTTTGCTTCATGCCTGCTTTTATCTGAAGGCTAATTTAAAATTAATTTACATGGCAGGGTGAATTAAACATGATCATCAAAAATTAATAGGAAATGTGACAGGTTTTAGCATCATCAATTAAAAAAAGGAAAAAGTTCTTACTGCACCTAGAAAATAGTTCTAGAAGCTAAAATTAAGGAGAACGTGAGTTCTGGATCCCACAGTTAGAAAGAAGATAGTCTCTGTAGAGGAAGTATGCAGAAATAAGGTTGGATTCCCTAATTGGGAATGGAAAGCATTGTGTGACCAAAGATGGCTGCTTGCTATGTCCTTTTTCTGCCCAGAGAGGTGCTATCCTCTGGAGTCCTGTTCACTCCAGTTTCTTCATAGCTCGGAGCACCCCAGAACGCACAGTCAGCAGCTTTAGCAGAATTAGCTCAGCCTTAACTCCATCTACTACACATGAGCACCACCACACTCTTCACATGTGCCCATTTGGATGACTAGTAGTCACCCAGCCCAAAGAGAACTGATGTGGACTGAATTGGTAGGTAGATTGGGAACAACAATAGAGGCAAAAGAAAGCAGTACATAAAGGGAAAGAAAGAAAAGTTAGGAAGAGAATGGAAAGAAAGAAAAGCAAGCTTGAAAATGGAGAGGAAAAGAAAGGTGTGAGGACAGGATATAAAGCCATTATGGAAGGAGTACAAGTTTTTCTGATTAGTCTTTCAAGAGTTATTTTTTGCTTTTATTTTCTAGCCAGTCTCCACTTATGGTAAAATTTAGTTCAGTTTCACCATGTTGTAACTTACGAGCCACAGGAGATCTTTACCATACAAAAATCTCATTATATTAGGGTCTCCCTCCATATTTATAAGTAGTATTGTCAGACAATACCAATACTGGATTTTATTTTAAAAACATCTTATTTAACACAAAATGCTGCAAAGTAATGTAAATTGAAAGTGGAAGTAACATAAATAAATTGTTAATTTCACATTTATTTTAATCGGTCTTTAAAATGCAACGCATTATTTCAAAATACAAGCGGTATGAAAAATGAACAAATTATTAATTTTGCATTCCTTTTTTCTTCCTGAGCCTTTGAAATATTAAGTGTTATTAAGAAATTACTATGTATAAATTTCATATTAGTGATTGTAACATTTTGTTCTAAGTGGAAATCACTAAATTTCTACGTTTGTTATCACTAAAAATACAAATAATAAAAACAAATTAACTGCTTCACTAATTAACTTTTATTCTATTCTCTATGTTTCTAAAATATAATTTGATGTCATTACAATCTAAGCAAGAAGAACAAAATTTAAATTCCTTTTTTTTACTGAGTGTGAAATATAGTATGTTATTTCAACATGGAAACAATATAAACTATTACTAATTACTTTTATATTTTTCTTACTAAGTCTTTAAAATGCAGTGTTTTTATTTCAACAAAAAAACACTGTACACAAATTTTTAATTATTTTCAATTCTTTTGTTACTAAGTCACTGAAGTGTAGTGGTGTTGGAATTTCAATGGGTAGATAACAGGAACAAACTGTTAATTGTACATTCTTTGTCTTCAAAATCCAGTATATTATCATTGCAACATGCAAACATAAAGTAAATTAAAATGTAAGTAAAATAGTACTTATTTTACATCCTTTGGTTTTTATTGTCTTGGATACACTTATAGTATATCACATTTTGGAGTGGCCACATTTCTAGTACTCTCATAGTAGACACATGTGACTAGTGTGCACCACAATAAAAAGGGCAAGTTTAGTGGAAGAGAGAGCAAATGCATATGGAATGATTTGTACCCTGAAGGAAATGTACATGATGCTCTTTTAAGAACAGCTGACAAGAAAGTAAGAGAACTGTGGGGAGTATGGGAAGTGTTATGGTTTGGCCATTTTGTTTTTTAGGCAATATTGGACGTTGTTGTGAATCTTCAATTTAGCCTGATAGAAAAATTGTGGCAAACATTCTGGCGCTATTCTCCCTCTACTCCAACTGACGGCACTACCATTACTGAATCAAGGTCAGAGTCAGTATGCTTTTCCAATTCATTTCATGGGTTAGTAGATACAACAACTAATAGATTAGAGATATGTATACCAGTTGTGAACCTTATCTGATAACTTTGTATGAATAGATTGATGCTTTGGCCATCCTAAAAATAAACCCCAAACTGCTCTCTTGAGGTTTAAGTATGTGTATATTTCTTCCATCTTTATTGATTGGGGGACTATGGTACAACTGTTTCACCCTCATGGAATTACTATCATATCTGCCTTTCACACCATCAGAAAATATGAATGTGCATAGGCAGCTCTGGGGGAGTGTTTATATATATATGCATATATATATATCTATATATAGATATATATATACACACACACACACATATATAATCCAGCCATATGGCACCAGTACAATGGTGGTATAGTTCTAACCTCAGTAATATTTAATAAACTATTTTTAAAGTCCATTTTCTTTTTTATCCTCATTTGCCATCTATTCATTTGCTACATTTATTCACACCAGCAATCTGAGTGAAATAGAAAGTCGACTTCCGAAAGCAAAGCTGATAACTCTGTGCAAACATGAGTCTATCCTGAAATGGATGTGTAACTGTGACCATGGGATGTACCAGGCTTTGGTGGAGATTCTCATCCCCGACGTCCTTAGACCTATTCCTAGTAAGTTAAATGCAGACAACTATGGATGCTTTTGTTCTCATACATACCACCCAGGAAGTTTGGGGAAATAATGGTTGCATTCTGGAATGATCCTAATTTCATTTAAATTCGACAAATAAAAAACATGCAATACACTGTATTGCATGACAGCAGCCTAGAGAAAAACTACAATAAAAGGGAGGAAATGGCCCTTATTGTAGTCTTTCATTTTCTTTTTGATTCAGAAAAAAAAAAAGCCAACCTGTAGATGTGACAGCCCAATAAACGAATTGCAGGAACACAGTCAACTATGAAAAAAGTATTTTACCCAAGAATAAGGTTCCCTTCATACAGGCAAAAATTACTGAAATCTGTAATTGCAGGCCCACTGCTTTCATGGTTGCTTTTGATTTGAAATGAATTTATCTTGGTTTCTAGCAGCGTTGGATTCCTTTACAAAATCATTTACTTTGTCACCAATATAATGTTAAGAACTACAAATTCACTTTCCATTAGCAGTAATGCTTAACTGGCATTTGAGAGAAAAAAAAAAACTATATAATTATACAAGCATCATATCCCCACTATGAAGTAAATGGGAATTACAGAGATAGTTTAGATTACTTTTTTAAGTGATGCTGCTTTTTAAACTACCTTATAGCAAGCAAAGCTATTTTCTGCAGGGATCAATATGAATGCTACTACAGATACTGTTAGAAGCAGTTGAAACTATTTTACACCTTCATCTGTATGAGCAGATACGACCTTAACATTGAAGATATAATACAGTTTCCCCTCCACAGTGACGTTAATAAAAGTCAGAGCAATCTTTTAGTTGTGAAATTGGCAGCCACGTACTACAAGTATGCTGTTCACAGATAATTTCTCTTAAATTAGTTTAGAAAATATATAAATAGGGTTTTGTAGAAGAAACAAGGAAAGTGTTAACATCTGTATGTTTATGCTTTCTTTTCTTCCAAATACAACTGGCAACAGTGGAATGTATGAATTCTTTCATATATTTTCCACTATCCTAAGGTAGATGCTTAGACACATTTGCATATATTACAGCAACCCAACATACAGTTAGGGAAGAATAAGTAAAAACAAAAGAATTGCCACTGACAGACAGTCTCTTAAAACGTTACAACTTGCTAATGTGTTCTACTGTATCTACCCCAAGTTCCCTGACTAGAAATTGATGAAAATTGATGTTGACATGGAAAATTTCACTGGTTTATGTTCCAGAATCTGATTTTCCTTATTACTCTCTTGCTGTCCGTGCTTTCAGTGATAATCTCTAGGGATGTTTAAAAGAAGTTGCATAGGGTAGCTCATTAGCCTATGACATTTTCCAGCAATACAGTTTCTCTCATGAGATACAAGAAGTGAGTGTTTTCTTTTTTGAAGCAAATCAACAACATTAGTATTTATTAAACAATCCTGAAATCTTTAACTTATGTATTAGCATAAAACTTTAACTTGTGAAATTAATAGTTCCCTAATTTAAATCATGTATCAATATTAATTGACTTTAAGCCTCCAAAATTTAAGAACGTGGTAAACTTGCCCCTTCCCTTTTGCAAATTTTATTCTGTGAAATAGTTTGTCTTTACATTCAGCAGAAAACTGAATGGCTTTATTTCTATGAAATTACAAGATGCATTAATCTACTACCCTACAAAGTAATTTGGAAATTTAGTTCCTGTTCTATAATGAGGCTTAATGAAATAAAATATAAAAGACCATGTAGGTAGCTATCATCTGGGGGGCATGCATTTCAGTACTAATCTTGAACAGGTTAAGGCAAGTCAGTTTTGAAATTGATTTTAAATTCCCAACCATCCATTTACAACTCTTTAGAAATTGTCAGAGTTGATCTTTACAATTTTAATCTTACACGAATCCCTACAGAGAGAAAAAACTTAATTTTTTTTAATTGGCTACTAGTACTTCACTCTGCCATTTACTGTCCAGATGGGATTTCTTTTTTTAACAACAACAACAACAACAAAAAAGTCTGCACATCACATTAATTTAAAGTCAGCTTGAAGCTACTATACTCTAAAATACATTTATTTGAAGATGGAAAAAAAAAATGTGTGAAGTACTGTATAAGAACTTAACTGGTAACACTTAAATGGACAATTAAGAGTATAATTAGAGGTGGCCCAGAATGTCATTTAGTATGCAAAATATATCCTTTTATTTTTTAACATTTTTAATAGTATCTAATAGTTGTATAGTGAATTTTGCTGTGATAATCTTCTTTGTGTCAAGTTTGTCTAAATAAAAATAAGGCCCATATTGACTTTTAAAAAAATAACATAAATAGGTACTTAGGGGTTTTTTTCAAGTGAAATAGTTACTATATATTAATTGTAGGAAAATGGAATATGCCAAATTGAATCAAGAGCAAAATTTTACTGAGTTTTTAATTTTTCTTCACTCCTTTTCATTTTCATTCATGCCTGTACTCCATGGTTCAAGTACATAACACAACAGAAAGATATTTTTGTTTTTGTTTTTTTTTTCTTTTTTTGGCTGATGTGGGAAGCTTTGGAGATTTCAAAATATTAGTTCTTAAGAAAGTTCTGATGCCATGTTTCCAATTCTTGTGGTTAAGAGTCTGTACTTGTATTTTTTCTAAGCAAATTTCAATCTCTTCTGTCATTTAACCAATTAATAAAACAAATTTAGTTGTTTTATAATTGGAATAATAAAATTTATCTTTTGTAAATAACTTGAGTGAACTAAATTACTCCTAAAACCTGTTTTGATAAATGTAACAGAGAAGCATGTCAGACTCACTTAAACACAGAAAGAAAAATAATTTAATCACATCATTAACATATTCTTGGGAGCAGCTGGCCAAAAATATAACTTCATTTTCTTTAGTAGACTACAGATTTTGATATCTACCACATTGTAGAGAACCTACAGATATGACTTTTACGTTGTGGGTGCTTCAAACACTTATCTATTAGGTTTCTAAAACTGCTCTCCATTGTGTGGAGTCATAGGTATAGGGGAAGTAGAATACTGTTGAGCAGTCTCAGTAAACAGATCCCTATTGTAAAAATACAGTTATCAGTAGTAAATGGAAATACTTCTAAACATTTTATGACCACCATAAAATCTTGTCATGTGACCTATCCTATACCAGGTTTTAACAAACATGAACAATATAAATGGATTGTTTTAGGAGTATTTTATGAACATTGTTTTCTGTGTCAGCAATTTTATCACATTGATCTTTTATCTTTACCTACTAAGTGAAGCAGAAAATAGATATTCAAAACTTTCATGCCATACAATTTTAATTTTTACCTTATTTCTCAGCAAGAAAGATAAATATTCCAGTTCATGGATTCTAGGCTGGAGGCATGGCTCAAGTATTAGAGAACTGCCTATCAAGTGCTAGGCCCAGAGTTTAAATTCTAGTACTGCCAATTCATGGGTCCTAGTGTAAATAGTTGCATAGAGTAAAAGAAAGCTTTGTGCTATATTTCTTTTTAACTAAAGGTATGAAAATAGGTTAAAAGCTTGAAAGCAATCAAGATGAAGAATTTATAAAGAAAATGCTTAGCCTTTTAACACAGAACCATTAATGAAAAGTTTTTTTTGTCCAAGATAGAAAAATCCCATAAGTATATTCACAACTGGTATATGTGACTACAAGCAAAAATGTTTGAATATTTTTATTTTCCAACAAAGTTTCATAAATATATGGGACCAAAACAGCTTCATAAATATCTGGGAACAAAATAGCTTTTAAAAGAGAAACAAAGACCAAAATACAATTCTTTGATGTACTAAGAGATTAGGAATAATGTTAGTTTTGTTGATGAGGACAGTATAAATTCTGATTTGTGCTATGTTGGGTTTTATGTATATATATTTTCCCTTATTCTTTTACTTTTTCTTTTTCCTTCTGCCTTTATTCTTTATCATGTAGGTGCCTTGACCCAAGCCATTCGAAATTTTGCAAAAAGCCTTGAAGGTTGGCTTTCCAATGCCATGAACAATATTCCACAGAGAATGATACAAACCAAGGTACACTTTGCGTCTTTGCTTTTTCTTTTGTGTTTAGAAAACCTTTTCTTCAAGTGGATAATTATCTCATAATTGATCAGTAATGCAGAATATTACACACAGCTAGGTATGTAAATATTCTAATCCAAATATATTCCACATAGTTAGAGATGTGAATTCTAGTATACACCATATAGCCCGTAGCCAGATTGGACTGAGTCTGTACTTTATACAAATTTTGGTGTCAGAAATCACATTCCTGAGTTTTGGCCAGTGGCTACATCCACTATTAGACTCCCAGCAATTTATCTTATCCTTGAGTTTAGGAGCACAGTTAATAGATTTGAGTTCTACTCACTGACAAATCTCTTTGGAAACAAAGGTAGCTCCCAGTTCTCTCTGCTTTAGCTTAAGGTTTGCCAATAAAGTTTTCTCTTTCTAAAACATGCAGGCAACATTTCATTGATATACCCACCTTAAATGTTGCTTTTGAGCTGTGCTATCAATGCAGTAGGGCTAGCCACATTTGTCTATATAAATTTGAACTTTAAATTAAAATTAAATGAAATGAGAAGAATTTGCTTGCATAGTCATATTAACTACATTTCAAGTGCTCAATAGCTGCAAATGACTAGTGGACACCATATTGGACAGCATATATATGGAGCATTTCCATCATCACAGAAAGTTCTCTTTGGAAGTACTATTGTAGAGTACCACATTGATGTGGGCAAAAAAAAAGGAAGGTACTATTTGACTATGACAGAGGAATCCTTTCCAACTTGCAAAGTAGTCACATTCATAAGAATATCTCCAACAGCTGAAAGCACTTTCCTTTCCAGAGTCATCAAAGTGAATGTGGTAGCAACATTGTTTACAACATTAGCCATCTCATTGACTCCAGAGTTGATTTGGATGATTTACCATGGTGGAGAGTACCTTCCACTGTAATTGATATGCTGCCTTTTTTTTGCTGAGCACTCAAACAAAATAATTTACCCTGACAGGGAACAACTTTCAAATGCGTGTTGTGGTTCAAATCACTCTATATAACCCTGGTTCAAATCACTCTATATAACCCTGAGCAAGCTACTGAATATCTATAAATCATAATGCGTGTCTAATAAAATGGTTATGTTAGTTCAATAAGGTAGTATATGTGAGACACTTAACTTCATGCCTGGTCATGTAGTATGTACTTGGATGAATATAAACCACAAAATGGAAAAATATATAAGACTTTAGTAAAATGTGGAAGATTTATACAATTCAAAGAGAAACCAAAGTATATGTAAGACTTTTTTTGAGGGTGTGCAAGTTTTCCCCCACATTCGATACAGTCCTAAAACCTCCCACTATCAAGATAGAACATTCTTTGCTCTGCAAACACATTCTACCATTCAACCAACTGACTCTTCCACTACTTGCTTCTTACATACCCATAAAACATAATGCAATAACATATTTTCTTAACAGATACATAAAGTTTTTAACATGCTTTTAGAAGTTTCAAATCATTAGATCTACTGTGAGTGTAACATTTCCATGAAATCATGAGAGCTAGATATGTATCTGGATCTTTTTTTCATTAGCTTTAATATCATTCAGCATAAACTAGTTTATTTAGGATCCCAGAAAAAAACAAATGTATATCAGGGTGGCAGAGTTATTGCAGAGAGTTTAAGAGTTTATTTCCAAAGATGTAAACAGAGTTGAAAAACCAAGAGGGGATGGCTAAGCATCCTAAAACTAGCAATAGTGTGAAGTCTTCACCATCTCTAGGTCTGAAAGGTAAAGGGTGAAAGCCATGGCATTAGGAAATCCCCTCCTTTCCCCAGAACCATGGTAGCTTTGGAAAAGGAAAACAGGAAGAAAGCAGAGGTTGAGGTGAATAAACACTGACTACTTTTTCTTCCTAGTCTTCCTGGATAGTCCATTCAAAGAAATTCAGATTCTGAAAAAGAGTTCTTCCAATTGCTTAGAAGAACTTATTAGCTAATAAAAGCTAAGAGCTCTCTTATTTCATGTCAGAATCACCCAACTTGTTATAAGTCATAAGGGTAAATGGTAGTGCTCTATAAAGTATTTTTATCTGATTAAAAAAGTATGGCTATGTAATTTGCCTTTCTAAATAAAAATAAATGTTTTTTATTTGCCTGGTTTCTAATTGTTCTAAAAAGAATAAAAAAGAAATGAAAGCCAACCTTTTTTTTTTTTTACTTCCCTAGACAAAGCCATTTTTTACTATTGCTTCAGTAGTTATTTGCAAGACTATTTAGTTAATGCTGCACTCAGATGTTGAAAAAATGTGGGAGTTTGTTTTAGTCTTGACCTCAATATGCTCAAAAGGAAAACAATTCTTGGTTTAAGAGATTTAAATGTTACAATTCACAGTAACCTCTCTCACCAAAAGAACTCGAAATACATGTCAAAGCACTTAAATTTGGCAAGGTAGAAAAAGACTTGAAGATGCAGTGGTTTCATTAACTGGAAAAAAAAAATTCCCAGCTTCCTTGGGTTTCTCTACTACAGGTTGCTGCTGTAAGTGCCTTTGCCCAGACTCTGCGAAGATATACATCACTCAATCACCTGGCCCAGGCGGCTCGAGCAGTGCTTCAGAACACTTCTCAGATCAACCAGATGCTCAATGACCTCAACCGTGTTGACTTTGCCAATGTCCAGGTACTCTGTCTTCTTATTTGTTCTTCTAAATTAGGATCATCATTTTTTTTCAAAGTTTTACATATGTACAGGTAGAATCTGTATTCACTATATTCACAATGTCCTATATGAGGGGAGTTTTCTGACATTTGAACTCAGGGCCTCACTCTTGTTAGGCTTCTGTTCTATTGCTTAAGCCACACACACTCCAGATATGACTTTACTTCACCTTTGTTTTGTAGTCAGTGTCTGCAAAGGTCCATACTTCTGTAAGGCAGCATAATATATAATCAGGGTTTGCCTAATAATTAAAGGATAATGAAGATCTCAGTCATTGTAGTCAGGGAAGAAATTAAACTCTTCCTTCTAATATGTTTGGGTTTTTGGGAAGTTACTTAACTGCTCTGTGCTTTACTTTTCCACCTTGTAACACCTGTCTTAGATTATTGCTTACATATTTTGTAATTTGTACCATGTCTTACACAGAGGTAGTTCTATTATTTATAGTAACCTACCTTGAAAGAACTAAAACCAACTGTGTTTCAAAATTTATTATAGATACATAGGAAATACTTAATCACTTGAAAAGAGTTAGGTGTAATAAGTCTCAGTGAAAAAAATTTTAACCTCATGATCAAGTTATTTACTTGTACTTTAAAGTATACTTGAAAAACAGCTAATTTAGGAATATTATTACAGAATTCTACCAAATATTTTCTGATACTAAAGTAATAAAGCTAATTATTACCATATGAGAGTAATGCTAGTCCTATCTAAGCATAAGCAACGAAGGAAAAAATATATAAGTTGAACATAATCAGACTTTTTAACTTTGGGAGTTCAAAAAAGACCACCAAAAAAAATGACATGACATCCCACAAGATGTCAGAAACATTTTGCAAATCAATATCTGATAAAGGACCTTTATATAGAATATATAAAGAACTATGACAGCCCAGTAATAAAAATGCAACCTCACTTTTTTTTCTTTTATTCATATGTGCATACAATGTTTCGGTCATTTCTCCCCCTTTTCCCCCACCCTCTCCCTACCTCCCCCGCCCCCTCCCTTCTCCCCACCCCCACCCCCTCGCTACCAGGCAGGCAACCTCATTTTTAAAATGGCAAAAATCTGATCAGACATTTCTTTTTGTATTATAAATTGTTTATTAGTATACAATTTATAATACAATTCGTTATATGGGGAGGGATTCATAGTGACATTTCTGATTAGGCTTATATTGTACATTGTTTAGATCACCCCCATTTTCTTTCCCTCCACCTCCCACCCTACTTAAAGCAATTACAAGAGGTTTCTTTGTTCTGTTTCGTAAGTGTATCAATTCTATCAGTTATATACCCTCACCTTAATCTCTTTCATTCACCCTCCTCCCTCCAACTAGTACCCTCCATACTCACTCACATACTGTGTACCTATTTTACAGTCCTGACTTTAATTATTAATATTTAGGTCAATTTTGAATGGGGTTTCTCAATGTGTCCCCACTGTGAGTATACTTTACTTTGGTCCCTTCCATAATGGAAGGGTTCAACTCCTTCCATTACTCTCCATTACCCCTTTACTGTCCACCCCCATATTTCAACATCGTTCAGTACACATCCTTATATCCTCTACCTCCACAGATGTTTATATTGTTGATACTCTATCATTCTCTTTTCTTTTCCCTTTTTCCCCAAGTTCCATAGAGTAATTCCGCTGTTACAAACACATTCTATATATGAGTTTGTATATGATCATACTGTTTTTGTGTATATGTTTATCTTTTGGATGTATCTTCCATGAATGAGAGAAAAAATGTGGCCTTTGTCTTTCTGGGCCTGACTTACTTCATTTAACATGATGTCCTCAGATTGGATCCATTTACCTTCAAAACACGTCATTATTCCTTATGACTGAATAAAACTCCATTATGACTGAGTAAAATATTTTCTTGATCCATTCATCAGTTGTAGGGCATCTGAGTTGTTTCCATAGCTTGGAAACAACTATTCACTATTGTGAATAGTGCTGTGATGAACATTGGTATACAGGTTTCTCTATTGTATCCTGACTTAGTTCCTTTGGGTAAATGCCCAGGAGTGGTTTCATTGGATCATATAGCAGTTCTATCTTTAGCTTTTTGAGGAATCTCCATACTGCTTTCCATAGTGGTTGTACTAATTTGCATTCCCACCAACAGTGCATAAGGGTTCCTGTTTTGGCACTTCCTTACCAGAATTTGTTGTTATTACCCTTGAATATGGCCATTCTAACTGGGGTAAGATAGAATCTAAATGTAGTTTGAGTTGCATCTCTTTTACAACCAGGGAAGTTGAACATTTCTTCATGTATTTACTAGCTATTTGTACCTCTTCCTTTGAGAATTCCCTGTTTAATTCATGTGCCCATTTCTTCATTGGGATGTTGATTCTTTTGGGGTTGAGTTTTTGAATTCCCTCTAGATTCTGGATATTAGTCCGTGATTGGATGAATAGCTGGCAAAGATTTTCTCGCCTTCTGTGGGCTGTCTCTTGAGTCTAGTGACTGTTTCTTTTGCTGTGCAGAAGCTTTTTAGTTTGGTGCAGTCCCATTTGTTCATTTTTTTCTCATAGATGCTAAGCTTTTTGAGTTCTACTTAGGAAGTCATTCCGTATACCTAGATGTTCCTACTACTTCCTGGAGTTAATATTTCTAGTATTAAGTAGTCATTTCTTTAAAGAAAATAGATAGGTGGCCATAAACACATAAGAAGATCCTCAGCATCAATAGACATCAGGGAAATGTAAATCAGAACTCTAAGGAGATACCAGTGGAAGCACACTAAAATGTGTATAATAAAAAAAAAAACAGTTAATACAAGTTTTGGTAGGGATGCGGGGAAATTGGAACCTCATACCCTACTCATGGGATTGTAAAATGTTGCAGCCACTTTGGAAAACAGTCTGGCATTTCCTCAGAAAAGATGAACATAGAGGTACCATGTGATTGAATAATTCAATTCCTTGATATACCCAAGAGAAATAGAAATACATTCACAAAAATATCTTACACAGATTGAATCAAAATTAATCAAAAACTTTGTGAGTGAAAGTGTTTCGTATTTTGGAATTTTTGAGGTTTTGGGATATTTTAATAGAATTTACTACATGATTATCCCCATCCAAAAATCTGAAATACTAAAACCTGAAACTTTTGACCCATCCAACACTCAGTTTGTTTAGATTTTTGAAACATTTCATATTTCATATTTTCAGATTAAAGTACTCAACCTATACTTGGATGTTCATATCATTATTCAAATTCTCTAGAGAAAAAATGGAAACAACCCAGATATCTATCAACTTATGAACAGATAAAATGCTCATCTGCACAATGCTTTGGGTTGTATAATGTTTCTGGGTTATGAAAAGAAATGAAACTTCAGTTCATACTGCAAGCTTGGAAACATTATGCTAAGTGAAAGAAGCTGGGTACAAATGAACACATACTGCATGCTTGCATTTATATGAAATGCCCTGAACATAAATCTGTAGAGATAGAAAGTAGATTTGTAGTTGCTTAGGGCTGGGGGGTCAGAGAGATTGGAAGGCAACAGATAAAGAAGTGAAGGATTTCTTTTGGGGAAAATTGCTTTTGGTGAGGGATGCACAACTCTGGAAATAATAAAAGAAAGCTTTAAACTGTATACTTTAAATGGGTAAGTTGTATGGTATGTGAATTTTATCTCAGTAAAGCCATTAAAATACCATATAAAAACCTAATTATTAACTAGTACATTTCCAAGAAATTTTAAGCTCTGCATCTTGTCTGGTTTCATCATCTATGATATATTAAAAAGTAATATACCCATTTTTAGGGTAGACTAAATTAGTTATGTTCATTGTCACTTTCATGAATTAGTCATAAACTTCTAGTATATGATAATGTTATTTTTCAATCTCTATCATCTATCCATCTATCTCTAAGTACAAACATACTTACATATACATATACACATACAAACACATAACCTTTACAAGAACATACTGTCTTGGGTTTACAAATCCATCTACTTCACATATTTCAGTTGATTTACATTAACTGACTTACTGAGAATATTATATGCATTGCCTTGAAATCTGTACTTTGATATTTATTTCAAATCTTCATTTAAAAATATGTTTACAAAAAAATAAGTTTACAAGTCAAAATAAGATAACTTTGAAATCATATTGTAAGAACACTTCTAGTTTCCAAAAGTTATTTAAGATCAATAATGGAAAATATTTTAAGAATAATTTCTAATAACATCTGGGAAATGTTTTAAATGTTCTCTTAGCATTTTCCATATGTGTATTTGCATATCTGCAATCCAATTGAGTATACAAGTGAACTCTTCCCTAGTGGATAATACCAACCTTGAGAACATCTTTGTTTGCATATAAACAGTCAATTATTTTGTCTGTTCTCCTTATCCTCCGCCCAGCAACTTTGAGACTACCCTTTCTCTTTTATTGTCAACTGTCAAGTTTTTCTGGGCCTACCATGACAATCATTAGTGCTGAAACCTGTAAGCATGTGCCCTCCAAACTTTTTTCCTTAATTGTGAGGACCATACTCACAGTGGTAAGCTCTTCATTTCACTCTGTATTCTGCTTCTCACAGCTGTGTTCAAGTTAGTGAATCTTCTCTTTCTCAAGGTAATATATTTCATTTTTACCTCCCTATCTTTTTTATTCCAAGGGGACCATGGTCCCTACTTCCCATTTCACCTTTATCACCTCCCAACCATTTGAAAGTCATCACCGCCTCTTCTAAGCTAAATCTCAGTAAGACTGATAAATAGAAGGGTAATGCTCATGTAATAAGGAGACGTTAGTTTCAAGCAATGAAATTACATGTAAGTGTCAATATTACAGCATTCTAAGAGCTTGGAAGTTCATTTCAGGATATCCATAAAACTCTTTTCACTGTATCATTCTCTTTTAATTAAATCTTCTTTTCCTCATGCATTGAAGGTAATTTTTCCACTGCAGTATAATTGGTTTTCTTTCTTAATTGATAGTATGACAACAGTATTACTCTGATTTTTTATGTAAATGATTAGTTTTTCATTTACATTATGGGTTAAGTAGATGTGGGTGGACTGACACAATGACCTATTGCATATACTTGCATTTCTATATTTATTTATTTTTGTTGTACTAGAGGTACATTGTGACATTTACAAAAGTTCTTAGACTATATCATAGTTGAATTCATCCCCTCCATCATTATCCTTTATCCACCCCCACCCCATTCCTGGAATAGTTTCAACAGGTCTTAGTTTTGCTTTTCTATATTTAAAAAGCATTTGATTTTGAAGTTCTTCACTGCATATCATTTCAGATATAATTTTTCTGTAAGTTAAGAACATCTTTAAATGTTCATTTTTAAGTTTTTTCAAGTATAGAATTGATCTGAACTCCTTTTGTAATAGAATATTTATGTACTCCATCATTAGTATGTGTTCAATCTAGAGAGTAGTAAGATGAAATATAATATAAAATCGCTTGAAAAGTGAGTTTATTATGCTGTGGTTTTACTTCTCTAAATTAGCTTTAGATTATCATCTTCTTTTAGTAAAAACTAATTTTCAAACAACTAGTGAATAATTTATGTAAGAAATGAAATTCTTCCATAGATATTAGTACGTACGGTCTTCCTTTCACAGACACACAAACAAAAAACAACCTCCCCTAAAATGGAGATAGTGTTTTAGTTTTGCAAAATGAAAAAGTTTAGAGATCTGTTATACTACGAGGTACATATAGTTAACACTACTGAACTTTACACTTAGAAATAATTAAAGTGGTAAATATTATGTGTTTTTTATCACCATAAAAATGCTTAGACATTAATGAAAATACAACCTTTCTCTGTAACTTCTTTGATGCTTAAAATTCTTCTCTGAGTACTCTGATGGACCTCTAAGTTGATACAAAATTTCTGAGAGACATTTGACACTGTATATTAAAAGATCTTAGCTACTCTTATATAAATTTAGCATACAGAAATAAGTGGAAAAGTAAGCAAAAATATAGTTACAAGGTTATTAATTCCAGCTTTATTAATAATAGCAAAAAGTTGGAACAGACAAATGTCTAATTCTGTATGGAATTGGTTATGTAAATAATAGTATAGTCATGCAATTAAACAAATTCATTCATTGAAAAATAAATATAGCTCTTTATTTGCCTATAGGGAAAGACAGTTATATATGATTAAATTAAGCAGAGTATCTGGCAGAATGTATAATATGATCCTCTTTTAGTTAAAATATTATATGTCAATAGAATAGCATTCTAAAATTCTAATAATTTATATATGCATATGATAAATAACAAATTATAACTATTAATATTATAATTATATAATAAATGTAATACAATGCTATAAATGTATTTCTTAAGTAATATAGCATGTGCATATATTATATTTATGGATATTTATTTTTATATGCATGGAAAAGCTTGAAGTATATACCTTTCCACATATAGCTATCTCTTATTTAGGTGTTCTTAATATCTTCTTCCTTTTTCCTTGTTTGTATGTTTTCTAAAGTTTTATTTTAGTGTAATTAAAATATTTAAAAGTTATATTTTGGGGGTAGTATCTGAAAGAACTTATAATTAATTAGAAAGAAAAGAAAGAAGGAGAGTGGGTGGTATCAGCTGAGCTATGGAAGAAACTATTGATTTTCCTGAGGGAAATAAAATGAATTGAATTTGGGGCATTTTGTATTTGAAATGCCGCTAGTTTGAAATGACCCTTGAAAAAGTAAGGTTTATAGGATCAGGAAAGTTGCTGGAACTAGAAGAATAGAGATTAGAGATTTATTTAGTTGAAATTGTCAATTTGAATGAACTTGTCCTGTGACAGCATATAGCATAAAAGCTATAGACACTGTTTTCAGAAAAATGCAGAAGTATTCACACACACACACACACACATATATATATATATACATACAGAGAGAGAGAGAGAGAGAGAGAATGAATTAGGCTTTTTCAGGTATCCTTTAAAGAAGCCCATCTTGAAAATTTATCTGGGCATAATGAACCCAACTTAAAAATTCTTGCTAAATGTCATTTATCTAATTTTATGCTCAGGAAAATTTTATCTAATAAATAAAATTAATTGCTTGAGATCAGTTTAGTTGATTCAGGATCTAGATTAAAATCTGTGTCTTCTGATTGTCAGTCAAATATTACATTACCAAATAACCTCATATAACACAGCTCTGGAAAAAATTATGGAACTTAGGGCAACCACTGAATAGTAATTTTTAAAGTTTCCATTTTTGTTGCTATTACCAAACATGAAACCCAACCAGTATCAGAATGAAAACTGCAGTAATGTCTTGTCTTGGCATGTCGCATGTCTACATTTTCTCACAAAAACTTTTGTTCTTGTCATTGTTTTCAGTTCTTTGAATGAATTTGCATTCGTAGGTTTGCTTTGATAACCCTTGAGATTTCTGTTGCCATTCCGTAAACTTACACTGCATATGCTTCTACCTACTGTCATTCAGTATTTGTTTTTGTTTTAATCTTGAGGGATCACTTTTGGCCAGTAAATCTGTTTATCCATCCAAGTTGCTCTAAGTCTTTTTAAATGAATTGATTTTAAAGTTTAATCTGATGGAGGGTAGGGAGAGAACTTTTGAAGGCACTATGAAAAGAATACGATAAAGGAGCCACATACTGTTGGTTCAGGCATCTACCTTAACTGATCATGTATTCTAGTCTCTCACAGACTAGCCAATGTAGAAAAACCAAGTCATGTTTATATGTCACATTACTTTTTGACATACCAGAATAAGCAAGGAGAAATACTAAACTCCTAAAGCTGACAACAGTGGTTTTCATAACAACTGACAAGTAGTTCTTAATTTTCTTGATTCTTTTAGTTCTTTGAAGATTTTATTATAATTTTCCATTCATGCATTTGGTCTGAGTATTGACACTCATATAATTACTGTGCAGTAACCAATTGCACCACTGGAGCTCCTGAGTGTTGACACTCAATGAAAAGATGCTGAATTAAATGTTTCCTTTGCTTTCTGTGGCCTGTCCCAGGAGCAGGCTTCCTGGGTGTGCCAGTGTGATGACAACATGGTTCAGAGACTAGAAACAGATTTCAAAATGACCCTTCAGCAGCAGAGCACGCTGGAGCAGTGGGCTGCATGGCTGGACAACGTAATGATGCAAGCACTGAAACCCTATGAAGGAAGACCCAGTTTTCCTAAAGCTGCCAGACAGTTTCTGCTAAAATGGTCTTTTTACAGGTATCATCTTCATTTTCCCTAAGTTTTCTTCATATTCTGTAAATATGTGTGTGTGTGCATGCTTTTCAGACCAAAGAAATCAGTTTAGACTTTGTGGCACCTCCTATTATAACTGTCTTTAACTCAACTCAATGATTTTATATATAAGCATCATGGAAATAAACTTTCTTCCAGGAAAAGAAATTCCCTTGCCTGAAACCCTAGAAGTTCTCAGCTGGGAATATTTGAGATTCCAGTCTAGATGATGTGTTGAACAGTCAGAAAAGAGATAGTCATTCCTCTTGCCCGTATTTTGTTGTTACAGTCTTCCCTCTTTCTTATATTTTAACGTGTTAAAAGTGGTTTTCTTTCATGCCCTTGTTCAGTGATCCTCAAACTGTGGTCCCTAGAATAGTGACATCACTGTCACTCCCAAATCGATCTGAATCAAATTCTGTGGAGGAAAGGCCTAGCAATCTATGTTTTTGAATCCTCCAGACAATTCTGGTGTGCATTCAGAGCACCTAGTTAATTCTTAATTTTATCAATTACAGCTGTTTTCAGAGCACCTAGTTAATTCTTAATTTTATCAATTACAGCTGTTTTCAATCTGGTTGCTCATCAGAATTCAGAATTAATATTATAAAAAGAAAACCCTAATTGCCTCCTGAGATCTAATAAATCAAAAATCTTGGTAGTTAGGAGTGGGGATAGTCAGGATCAGTAGTTTTGATTTGGTTTGTTTCTAAAAAGTTCTTCTGGTAGTTTTGATGCACAGCCAGTAATCTAGTAGATAGTAGCATATCTTCTCATAATACTAATCAGTTTTTGACCAAAACAATACAAATAGAAATGTGTTTTTTGTAGACATAGAAGCATCCCAGCAGGGAACAGGCTTTCTAATTATATGACATATAATGGCAAATGTTGCCACAGCTTTGCCACAGAGGTTGAAAAGAACATTTATGACCTGTGTTGGTCAGCATTTGTTACACATATATATAGGGTAGAATTGGAAGATGGTGTCCTATTTCATGAGCTAAGTAGATGAGTTTTATTTCTTACCCTGGCATTTGTTCTTATGGCAAGACTTCATGTATTTGCTTCTTTAGATAAAGATGGCCCCATTGACTTGTGTTCAAAAGCTATATATGGTTAAGTATAGGCAGTTCCTAATTTAGAGCCTATGCATTCATGCACTTACCAGAAAGTAGTAATCATAAGATTATTGTAGGTATACTATGTAGCTGTGGGTACACACTATGGTCTTCATCTGGGCATCAGTGTTTATTTCAAAGCTAGTTGGAAAGAAGGAAGGTATACAAATAAGTAACTGAATTTAAAAACCAGTCCTACTTGTGAACCTAGTAAACCTTGACTATAGAATTTATACCTTGTTTTGACTACCTTCGTAATGGTAATTGCTCTGATTTTTATTATAAATGACTCTTCTTTCTCAACTGATTTAGCCACATTGTCATTTCTTAAACTGAAATAGAGGTATACATCCACTATATATTTTTAATTAAGAGTTAACAGGGAGAAGAAGCTCACACCTGTAATCCTAGCAACTCAGGAGGTGGAGATCAGAAGGATCATAGTTCTACGCCAGCCCAGGCAAAAAGTTCATGAGACCTCATCTCAATCAATAAAAGCTGTGTGGTGTTGTGTGCCTGTTTATGCCAGCTAACAGGAAGCATTAAGTGGAGAATTGGAGTTCATGCCAGTCAAGCCTATCCAAGAAATACCTAAAGCAAAAAGGGCTGGGTTGAGGCTGAAATGGTAGAATATCTGCCTGGTAAGCCCAAGGCCTTAAGTTCAACCCCCAGTACCATGAGGGGGAAAGTTATATTATCCTTATGTCCTGAAAATAGCTTTCTAGTGTCTAGCCCAGGGTGTTTCATACCTTTAGCTCATGTGATTTAAGAAGCATTTATTAAGGTATTGCCTGACTCTGTGGCCCACTGGTATGCTTCAGTGAAGGCAATGCCAGGTTTGGATCTAGGTGTTGATGAGAGACAAGTTGACAGCAAATGTAAGGTTTCCTCAGTGTAAGGAGAAGACTGGAAAGCATTGTCATAGTATTTTCAACGTGGATGCAGCAATAGTAGTAGTAGTGATAGAATTCACAATTCTCCTTTAGGAACATTGCCTCAGAGATGTTTTCCCATTTGCTCAGAAGTCAGTATTTTAATCACCAAATTTTTTCTCTGGAAAACAATATGAGTGGTTTATGTGCTTCATGAATAATGGATGAAATAGCAGAAACACCGCCTCTTCTAAAACTTACATGACCAAAGGCAAAGTCAATCCTCTGCATTAGAAAAAAACAAGTTATTTTCCCTATTGCTTCCTACTTTGCTAGTGTCAGACTTGCCTTTACTCCTTCCTATGGGTTTTTTCCCTTACATTTAATTGATACCATTGTAGAAGTACCCTCTTGGAGTTTTCATCTCCACAGAAATCTTTTGCAGGTATTCTGAAAGAAGAGAAAATTACTTACTTGTATTTCTTGTTCTCTGCAGATATACAAACCTAGTAGACCATCACCTGCCTGCCCTCTGTCCTCCCTGAGTTGAGGATAATTGGCTTGTTATTATTAGATACTATTATGATTATTATTTTCATTTCAAAAAGGCTTGAAGGCATACAGTTCAGAGCCATAGAGGAAAGGCACATTCAGACAGATGCATACCTCCTGCTGGGAGACAAAGTCAATAGCTTAGAAATTTAAAACCCTTTACTATCTGAACTGCTTTTACTGAAGCATAAGAACATACTGAGTAATAAAAACTGCATCCACAAACTATCAGAGAAACAGAATTAGAGTATTTTTAAATGTCTTTGGCATTGTGAATGCGAAAATTTGTAAATTTGCAAATGCCAATGTGAGTTTGGCAATCACATATACAGATAGATCCTTCATGTTCTGAAATAAGATCTTCATTTTATAATATCTAAAATTCTGTGTACATATTTACATGCATAGAAATATAGACATGAACTGGCAGAGAATCATTGTAGCAGCAGTTGATAAATTGCTGCAAACATGCTCTGCCCTGAATGGAGATCTCTTCTTGCTTAACCTGGCTTTGAATGGCTACATCTGGGAATAGGAAAAAGTCACTACCTTTCTAAGGCAGAAATAGAGAAGGTATGGAACCATTTCTCAGCTGCTGTTGTTTTGTGGATAACAGAAGCGAGCATTCCTGAAGGCCATCATGAAGGTTTCCTAAATACTCCTTTTGTTGTTGTTATGTTGGGTATTGAACCCCGGGCCTTGCATATGCTAGGCACATCCTCTACCATGGAGCTACATCCTCAGCTCCAAATATTTCCTTTTTTAAAAGGACAAAATTCGGGGCTGGGAGTGTAGCTTAGTGGTAGAATATTTGTCTAGCATGCTTGAGACCTTGGTTTTGATCCCCAGCATCACAGTAAATAAACAAACAAATAAATAAATAACAAAATGCATAGTTTTGATATTATGACTTGAAAAGGGACACAGGAGGGAACCTAGCTTGCCTACAACTGGGCAATATATGAGTCTTCCAAAAACTAATACTCTTTTTGACTCAACAGTAAGCACTGTTCAAAGAAAGAGTTCACATGGTGGGGGTGGGGGTCATAGATGTGATGCATCCACCTTTCTTCTTACAAAGGATGTGAGGTGTCCTCAAATATGCAGAGAGGTGGGTTGAGTATCATGTGTTAGGGTATATGTTGAAGTTTCCACACCATGAATTTTATGAAGATGAATACTCAAAGGTATTTCTCATTCATTATAAAATAATGAATGTTTACAACTCTGATTTTAAAAGGAGTTGAATTCATGGTAACTGAGCAACCTGAAATTCAATGTAGTTAATTTTGTAACATTTCTTAACAGAAGTCTGAAATGTATAATACTTTTCCAATTAAACTGTTAACTGTGTCATTTAGTACTGTCATGTAGGGCAGAGGCCCAACACAAAGAGAATAAGGCAGACATAGCATTGATGATACTCAGTGATTCTTTTCTAAACATAGAACAGTAATTTCATAACATGCTTATTGGTACTTTTTAAAAATAACTAGGTATTATAATTGAAAGTCGGTAGATTTTTGAAAATGTTCCAGCAGGATTTAGTATTACATGTACACTTTATGTTCAAATAAAGTGATTGTCCAATTGTTCAAAATTCTCCAAAATAGTTGGATTAAAATCCCAAGGCCTTGCCCTGTCCTTCAAGACCCCACATTGTTCATCTTCTAGGGACATCTAGACCTTACCATGTGTTCTCCTTGCTCACTGTCCTCCAACTACATGGGCCTTCTGGCCTTTCTTTGAGTACATCAAACATAGTTCTGCCGCATTATCTTTGGAATATATAAAGAAAGAACTCATTTTATATCAGTGGTGTTATCTCTGATAAGATTTTTTGACATTCAATTGACTCTGGATTATTTTTCTATAATATAATGAGTATCATCCTTAAAAAGTATTTTTTAATGAAATTAATAGGAACTCAACATTAGAAACTATGGAAAATACAAAAACTATACAAAGAGTAAACTAAATGACCCATAATTTTACTAATCCCCCAAAAAAATCACTGGTAAAAGGATGAATAATGGGACATTGTGACATAGCATAGTGTAAGAGTTAATGGAAGCACTGTGATACGTGACTGAATCTGATAACCAGCGTAACTGTTAAGTGACTAAGAAGCAGGTAATATATAAAGTGTGGATACATTAGACATTGGCTGATTCACATCTGTAACAGAGTAGAATAGAGCTGCATTAGGTTCTGTGATGCTACTGACAATGTCTTACAATTTAAACTTACAAATAGTTTATTTCTAGAGTTTTCCATTTAATATTGTAAGACTGAAGTTGACCCTGGATATCTTAAACCATAGAAAGTGAAAGGGAAGAAGTTCATATTGTAATCTTAATGTCCTCAAAATATTCCATTATATGTATTTATCATACATTGAAGCATCTTCTTACTCCCTTATTGAACATTTATATGGTTTTTGATGTCTTGAAGCACTTTTTAAAAATTAAATAATGATTATCTTTGTATACAGCTGTATGTGTCTCTTAAGATGAATTTTGGGGAAGGGGATGAATGTTTTAAAGTGACTAATGATATTTTATTGAAACATACCATCTCCATGCAAATAAAGTCTCTCTTAGAGGCAGGATTTTTTTAACTTTAGAGAGAGTTTTTGTATAAATGTCCTTATATATTTTGATTTTTTAAACTAATAAATGCTAGATATGTTTCCTGGTTAGGAACTGTATGTCCACTTTGTTTTTTAACTATTCCACATATTTCTGTTTATAAATGAGCCATTATTTGTTTAGCATCCTGATGGATATTGCTGATATTAAAACTATCTTTGCTTATTTATGTAAATTTCCAGGATTAGAATTGCTAAGTCAAAGGATTCAATATATTAAATTTTGACAAATATTGCTAGATCTCTCCCTCAAGTTTCATGAATTTATACTTTTGGAGACAGAGTTCTCTTCTCAGCCCCTCTGTAACACTAGGTCCTTTAATCTCATAGTGTGGTTGGTAACAGATGATGTCTAACTTTAACTTGTATTTAATTTTGAATGGGATTAGTCTTATTTCTTTTTAGTCATTTGTCTTCTCTGGACTATATTTTAAACACTGTCTTCAGTAAGATGAATGCATGTTAGGAGTAAATATTTTGCTTTTGCATTTCTTTCAAAATTATTGTCTTCAAGTTTGTGTTAGTATGAGTAAAAATGTTATGTAGTATTTTGTTCTTATTTTCATTTTTAAGTAGAAGATTCTCTTTTAAATTTTTTCATGAAAAAGTTTTAAATGTTTACTATATTTTACATACATTAATGTTACAAATGGGTGATGTATCACTGAATTTTTGAAAAGGCAAGGATAAAATTATGAACAGAATTTTGTCGTATATCTTTAGCACATAAATAAAGGTAACTATTTTTGATAACTCATTTATACTGTAGAGTTCTAAACTTAAGAAATTCATTAAAGTATTTGACTCAAAGGTGTCTTTCACTGAACTATGGTTTATGATAATGAATATATTCTCAACTGCAGTATGTATAACAATATGGTGATGATAGTTTTCTTAAATCCCACAAAAAGTAGTTCCACCTTGTCAATGAATATATTCCAAGATCTCCGCCCAGTGGATTGCTATGCCATATATAGTACTGAACCCTAAAATTTAATGCCTCGCACACCTTGGCTGAGCACTAATCAACACTGTGGCTTAACTCTTGTATTTTGAGGTGTGAGAACAAATGTAGCACAAATTTCTTTATCCTTTTTCACAATTTTCACAAATAGAAGATTCATTCTTGCCATAATAGATCTTACTGTGAACCTTCACCTTTTCACTTGAAGGAAATACTTTATTGTTTTTACTTGGTATTTCCGAATTGCAGGATCACTGCTTTTGCACTTGGAGTCATTCTAAAGTAAAATGAGGGTTACTTGAATATAAATTCTGCAATACTGAGACTGAAGATCTCACAACCAAGACAACTGTGGATAGTTAGGTAGAATATACAGCATTGGACACACTGGACAAAAGGATGAATCACACCCCAGGTGGCAAGGAACCAGTACATGAGATTTCATCAGACTACTCAGAAGGGAACACAATTTAAGACTATTTCTGGGATTTTGATGTAATATTTTCAGACTACAGTTGACCACAGGTAACTGAAACCAAGAAAAACACAGATAAAGGGGAACTATATACCTTACCTCATTTGACCCTTAAACTAATCTTTAAGCCTTATGAAAGGTTATGTGATCACTGTCAAGATTTCATAGTGGTAACCTGGAGCTAATGCCGTAACTGTATTTTTCCTTTTTTCCTTTTGTAAATAGATCCACAAAGATGAGAGGTCCTATACCCATCATAATATTCCTCATTATTGCTGCCATAAACAAAGTAGAAACTCCTACTCTGTATGTTACAGTCACTTTTATTTGAGTCTTGTTCTGTTCATTCATAAGTTGATTTCATATTCTTTAGATCATTTTACCCTTGAATCAAACTATGTAAGTTGGGGAAGACTAAAATCACCTTTTTAAAGGAAAAAAACTATCTCAAGGAAATTATTTATTTGAGGTCAGCAGTCAGTTAACAAAGAACCAGCATGAGAATCAAGGGCTTCTGAGTTTCAGTTATACAGTTGATGATCTGTCACTTGCTAAGCTGAATGTATAGAATTTGATGTAATTGTTGTCTCTGTTTTAAAAAAGGTTGAAAAATAAAGTAGAAAACAAACGTACAGTCTTCAGTTTTTTTCCATTTGCCTGGCACTTTGCAGTAGTTCATTGCAAAACAAGGCTTATACATTTGTAAGATTCTGTCTTTGTCCTGAGAATATATTGATAGTTTTAGTATTCATAGGCCAAAAATCTTTAGAAAAAGGCCACTGAATTAAATTGATGAGAAATACACACATACACAAAATACACTAATTATTCTGACTACAACTTTCAGATATTAAAATGGTTTGAAGTACATGAACAAGATTAATGATTGGCACATCTTTTGGTAATGCCAAGACTTATTTTGGACTTACATGTATTTTGGATATAATAGAGTTCAGTTTTAATATTGTGTTAATATTGTTCATATTTTGGAATTATGAATTGTTCACATTTTTCAAAGATAATTCCTTAATTGCTTTTATAATGCCTATTTTTAGTGGAAAATTACCTTAATTTAAGTGAAAATCAGTAAGATTTGCCTTTCATTAAAACTTGCTGAAATCCCTGTGCGTACTCACCTACATCCTAGGAGGCTACCTCTGGGAACTCTTCTTAGTATTTTTGTACCCTCTGTCTTGCATAAATACTTATTCTCCCCCCAAAGATTACACTAAGGGTCATTGTCATTTAGAGATGACAGAGAACTGACTACCAGTAAGATTTTCACTTTCAGTTGCTTTTTGTTACACTGGAGATGAGTTTTCAGCCTTTCAAAAATTGTTTTTATTCAATTCTGATCCATTCGTGAGTTTAAGGGAAGTAGCAGACCACCCAGTTATAATAAAATGGTCTTTCCCATTGAAAACCTGTTTAGCTCTAATAAGGATCAAGCGTTACTGAGGATTATCTCTGTAATTTCAAAAATGAAATTATTCCATGTTCTAAAAGTCTATGGTATCACATAGGCGCCCAACATAACTTTTTAGAGGAAAAACAGGTTGAATCTAATCTTTGTCACTAATACTGACTGCATATGTCTTTTCTCTTGGAACAGCTCAATGGTTATTCGGGACTTAACTTTGCGTAGTGCTGCTAGCTTTGGTTCCTTCCACCTGATCCGTCTGCTGTATGATGAGTATATGTTCTACTTAGTAGAACATCGTGTTGCTCAAGCAACAGGAGAGACACCAATAGCAGTCATGGGAGAGGTAAGAGAGCTGAAAGAGCTATGATTCATACGTACGTATAAATTATGTATATATACATATAAAGACCCTGAATTATACTTCAGTCAATTATATACATGATTGATTAAAGCAGTGCTTCTTAAACAAGTGAGCCTCATACCCAAGAGAAGCTGTGGAATTATTGCAAGGAGTCCCTAAATCCCTGTTCATGGGGATTTGAGGGGGGGAGGTTATTTGTTTTATGTTTGTGGTGCTACAGTTTGAACTCAGGGCCTTGAGCTTGTTGGCAGGTACTCTACCAATTAAGCCATGCCTCCAGCCCTTTGTGCTTTAGTTATTTTTCAGATATGGTATCCTTTTTTCCCTTCTCATTCACAAAGTTTATCTCATCATTGGATTACTTCATAAATGGTTCATTATACCTAGAATCCTCTTTTCACCTCTCCTCGTCCGTTGTAATGCCTACTTCATCAGTTCCACAGGGAGGCACACTATGTTGTAAGATAGTCCTGCTCTTTCTGGTTTACATTTTTATTTTTCATTCTAACACTTACACAGTACTAATTACATGGTTCTCAGTACAGTTTGTAAAATCAACTATTTAACATTTGGAAATAGTAGAGGACTTTTGAGTCAGAAGACCTGAATTCTTCTAGTTCTTAAAAATCAAACATGTAAGTATAAAAAAAAGTATATATATATATATATATATACACATATATATGTCACTTACATGTATAACTTAATATATTTATACTATATAAATGTATAAAAATAAATTACATATAGAAACAAATTATATCCATAAATTTATATTACATATTTAACTAACAACCCTGTGAATGAATACTGTTATACTTATTTTATAGATGATGAATTGAGTCACAGAGCCATTGAGTAACTTGCTAAATTGTAAAAATCAGGTCCTAAAACCAATCAACCTGGCACTAAAGTCTTTGCTGATAATCTGCTGTGCTTATTACCTGCTCCAGGCTGGGGTAGATTCAGAGCAAGAACAGTTGAGAAGGCAGTAGGGCAAGCCTATAAAATAGTCACAGACTTTGTGGGGCATTTGTTTGTCTTCATTAGTGCTTTCTCTGAGAGAGGTGCCAAGCCCAAAAAAAGGAAAAGACTTTCCTTTTAAATAAGTTAAAATAATTAATGAATATTTTCACTAATGTGAATTCAATATAGGAATAAAATTTAATTAGCGAATTTTAAAACTGACACTACAATATTTGCACAGGTAGGGAGAGATCAACACATATTTTACATATTCACAAAATGTACAAACAAAATATTATTTTTACTTCCATTATAGCACTATCATTTAATTTGTCAAAATGAAAGCTACCATGTGCTAGATCTCCCCCAAACTAGAAATAGCTTCACAGTCCCCATAGGTTTTCTTCTAAAATGTCAATCTGCTACTATATTAATATTTTCTAGCAAGTTATTTTTAGGGCATTTTAGGGCATTTTTTAGGGTTTTTTTCCCTAAATGATAGAAAGCAGAATTTATATAATTTTCAAACTTTTATTTAAATATTTTAAATGTGCCCATAGGCATTCTGGCAATGGTGAAATTTTAAGAGTAGGAATAAAATAAACAAGTTACAACTGTTTGCATACCTGTTAAATACAAATTTTAAAAATCAGAAGTCATTTAGTACAACTCTGACAAAAACTCAGAAGAAAAATATCCTTGTATTTGAATTTTATGGCTGTTTAGAATCTGTCTCTTTAAAGTAATGCATAGTTCAATAATATGTTCATTCACTGAATCTGTGAAGTTTTGATTGCTTTATAAAATTTTTTCATGAAAAACATTTTTATATTTAATACTGGAATGTTTATATTTCTGTCATAATTATACTTACTTGATATTACATCTAAATCACCTCTGTAGCCAATTTTTAAAATAAAGAAATAGAAACCAAAGATGCTTTTAATTGTTCAGCCATAGATATCAATATAAGAAAGATAATGTTCTAGTAATATATTTAGGGAAAAAATTGAAAAACCCATAAAGATTTATCATATAAAGCCAGATGTCTTGAATTCATCAAAGTTAATGTAATCAAATCAAAAGAAGAAAAAAAAATCTTTAAAACCGAAAACTGAAAGAAAAGCAATAATAATTCAACTGACAGGTTTTTTAGATAAAAGTTCAGTGAGAGTATCATTTAGTAGAAGGACAACTATATGTATAAATAAGTGTGGATCCTTAAGTAAAATCAAACCAAAGGAAAAAAAATTTCAGTTAGTATTTTAGTACAACTAGGGAATATACTGAAAATGTGCCTGTGGAACAGTAGATTGTTTCAAATAATATTTTTTGAAGAATGAATTCTATTCCAACTTTGTTTTCTGCAGGGGATAAAAGCATCTTGGATACCAGGGGTGGTGGCGCATACCTGTAAACCCAGCACTTTGGAGGCTGAGGCTGAAGTCTCAATCCTTCAAGGCCAGACTGGGCTATAAAGGGAGTTCCATGCCAGTCTCAGCTTTATAAAGAGAACCTTTCTCAAAAAGAAAAAAATTATAGTTTAGAAAATGTATGAAATACTTGTCAAAAGCTATATTGTTAATTACTATTTGTAAGAAAGCTTGTTTTCAGTTAATATTATTCTAATTTGAAGTCAGACCTTGTTATAATCACCATGCTAGGTATTTTACATTCTCATTTAATAGTCACCAAAACCTTTCAAAAGATATGTTAGCATTCCCTTTTCACCAGTGAGGAAAACAGGTTGCAAGTTAGTCCAACTAAAAACTAGCAAGTGCTAAAACTAACTTTACAAAGTAGGTCTGTCTCACTCCAGATAGCCAAACTGACTTAGGCCACATTTAAATTTTTCACCATGTAAATTACTTATTTATAGTTTCAGAATGTGGACTATTTATTAACTTTGTTTTATCTGTAATGTACAATTCCCCCAAACTTTATATAAATGCACACACAATCATTCTCTCTCTCACACAATAGTATGCATCAGATGTTAGATGCCTAACATGCAGCTTTTGTAATTTTGATCCAAGTCTTTTTCTCTGCTTTACAGGATGTCTCTTGATAGTCCTGCCACCATTCCCCCTTCCACATTTTGTTAGTAGATGTTAAGAATATGCAAACTAAATGAAATATTAGTTTAAGCAAATTGCAGTTGAGAACCAAATCTGCCAGAAAAATAACAACAAAAAATTACACCCTTCATCTCCTTCATAGCCACCCACAAACCAGATCTAAATTGAAGTTTTATAATTTGTAATTTGCTTCAGCTGTTAGTCTTTTCCTCTATATTACCATAATTTCACAACTTGTAAATCAATTATAAAATGATCCCCTGGAATAGGCATGGGAGAGGCCCTACTTATGACCTCATCCTCGAAGTTCTAGGAATTTGTTCCAAAGAAACTATCCTATTTATTCCTCTTTTCTTCTGTTTTGTCATTTTATTCATTCTTGCCTTTCATTTGAGAAAAAAGCCTGTTGACTTAGGGCCCAGCCTATTGGCTTACAACCCCTCACTTCTGGAATCCTTGCTCATTAGCTTCCTGTACTTGGTTTCCTTCCCTGTGTAACCTCTCCTTCCATCCTCTTCAGGAAATGGAGAGAATTCTGCTTATAATTGTAGTCTAAGCACACCCCACAATAAACACTAAGAAAAATACAAGGAAGTAAAAAAGAAGGAAGGACAAATTATCAACTCGTTCATGTGTGATATACTGGATTTCTTTACTCAGGAAAGTGAAGTTCCCAGACCAACCACACTTCCTCCCTGGAATATTTCACACAGAAGGTCAAAGATTTCATAAAACATTTCAGCAACTAAAATGGTCATTGTAGACATTAGGAGAGAAATCTTCAGCACTAAATCTTTTCAGTAAAACCTACCACTAGGTTAGGTGTTTAGAAAAGAATTAGTCTGGTAGGTGCTTGGAAAGCCCCAAGAGTAAGGTAGGTGTCAAAAGTTCCCTAGATTAGATTAAGCATGACAACTCCACCTACTGGCCTCTTTGTCACACTCCATTATCCTGTGTCTAGCCCAAGTGGCTTTGGGTGTGAAATTGACTTTATGGTAGTTTTTGCTCTTGGCAGATGGTGGTTGCTGGTCCTTCTGATAAAGAGAAGGATCCTTCATTTGAAATGGGCAAGTTCTTAAATTCACAGGAATTCCTTTCTCCTTTACTTTATGCCATTGTTGTTCTAAAATCATTGCTATAAAATGTCAAAAATGAGAGATTCTTTACAATGTAATGATAGTACAAGCACTTTAAGTCCTTCTCCTCTGGTATAATAAGTTAATGTCATTCTTTCCAATTAGATAGTGCTGGTGACCTCAAGGGGAGCCAGTTGAGTTAGGAGCATGGTTCTTTCTTCTCACACATAGTTTTATTTGCATTAAGAACATGCTGCCAGCCCTAACATTTGCAGGGCCCAGGGTACCGTATGTCTAAATATTTTAAAAGTTGTGAACCAAACTATACGTAAATCTGTTCTATCCACCCACCTTGACAGATGTATCTTGATAACTGGGAAGTCTGGACTTAAATTTAAAAATCTCCATCTCCTGCAACTTCCATGCTAGAAAATAGTATCATAAACATAGCCAGCCTCTGACCCCTACATACCTCTTTTCTCTTGCGCATCATAACTTCCCATCTAATACTGTGGATAACTTTGTGCTCATATTCGTGGATACCTCAGCCCATTGTTCAAGGTTTTTCTACCCTTTATAAATAACTGCTCTCTATTGGCTGCTCCTTCTTTTCTTTGAGGGGTAGACTTACAGAAGAAACCTGCACAGGCATGGGAAGGAATGCAGGGCCTTTGGGCAGGGTTATCTGGGGTCTCACATAGTAGAAGTGTGGTTGGCTATGAGGAGGAAAAGAGGGAAACACAGGCTCCAAGGAGTCACAGCCACTTGGCTTTGAGGGGAGCAGTCTAAGACAGGCAGGGCTCTCCATAGAGTGGGGCTCAAGGCAGAGGCTCCTCTTGTTTTAGCCTAATGGTGATGTTTG